TTAAAGACATCATGGTGAATCCCCATTATCTTCAACTGATAGATAAAACTGTTCGAAATAGGATAACCTCAATACGTATCACAGGAGACATTGCATACGCGGATGCAATGATCATGTGGTTCTAATTCAAACATAATTTCCTCTCATGAGTTGGAAATTCCGAAATCTTTTTCTGTTTATTCCAATGTCGCACCTAGTGTAAAAATATTTTTTTTTGGGTTGAATAATAATTTTACATTCATTAAAAAAAAAGCGTTTATTATCTCTTAAGCTACAGATGCGAGAGGATTTTAATCTATAACCAATAAAAAACAAGATTGAAAAAAAAGACTAGGAGATGTGTTGATTCATTCATTCTTGTATCGATATTTACCCCTTCCCATGGTTGTTTCCCTCGCTCTTGTTGTCCCTGTCAGATTTTAGATGCACAAACAAAAAATGGAGATTAACAATTGTGTTCAATGCAGTAATATTATAGAGCGTGTAAAAAATAGATTACTAATGCATTTTTTTCAACTTGAGAAATGTAGACACAACTTATCCATTGCAAGCGACTAATTTTCCTATGATGTATTCAATGGATAAGTTATGTCACGTAAAACCCAAGGACACTCCACCAAATGCAAAATCTTAATTTTGTTACACAGAAAATAAAGGGAAGAGAGATTTGAGAGCATACTTGGTTCCCGAGTGATGGAACACCTTGATGAATAATCCATTGAGCATCTACAACACCGATCTTCTTGTGCGCATTCTATTAAAGCGAGTAAGATAAATGAGGATTTAAAACGAGGGTGTATAGAATCCAAGAGAGAGTTTATACGTGCATATGCGTGTGTCAAAAGGGAAGTTAAGTTGCAGACCTGGACACATTTCCTAACCGCAAAGTCCAGACCCCATCCATGAACCAAATTATTCTGCAATTACAAGGTAACAATTGGTATTTGTTACAGAACAATTTATGCTAGTCACTTAAACTAAGAGGAAATAGAGTTTGGTTATTTTACATGCCTGAATCATATGCCACACACAGCGCCATGCCTTGCGGGAGAAAATAGGAGCCATAATCTTGAAAAATCTGATTGCCGTTTTGATAGCAGGAACGATGAGAAATATTCACTCTCTATACAAATCTATTTTGGTATGTTAATTATTTATAGTAACATAGATAAGAAAGTAGCATACGCTGCACAAGGAGGTAAATTTGGATCACTGCACCAGCCATTCCTCTCCTCAGCATGCCTGCAACAAATATAAGCGGAAGTATTGAGTAAGTGCAAGCCGGTGAATACATGAGTAAGTGCAAGCCGGTGAATACAAACAGCACCATGGTAAAAAAAAGAGCTTATGAACTATGTTATACTCCCTCTGTTTCAAATGTAAATTGTTTTAGCTAAAAGCACGGATATTAAGAAAATACTTATCTACTAAAAAGTATCATTAAATATATTTAATAAAAATAATTTGACCAATCACATAAAATACTGCAAAATACTAGTGGTCACACAATATTTAATAAAGTTAAAAAGTACCTAGGATTGTCTAAACAACTTATATTTTGAAACGGAGGGAGTATATATTATCCTAACTTGTGGACCTTTCGTGTCGTCTCTTTTCTTTGTCATCTCCCATGTGAGCCCTTCATACGGCTCTAACCGAGGGTATGAGATTTCCAACCAATAGATATTTGTCATAGAAATTTCATGTTCATAATCTAGAATGGCAATTAAAAGGATGTCAAAGCTTCAGAAACATACATTTCCGAATCAAAGTGTTCCACGCTAAGATCCTCGTCCCATATGAAGATATATTCATAGGGGACAACTATGCCAGGATGAAGAAATCGCTTGGCATACCACCTTCAAGGATATTTTTGGCAAATCTGTTAGTATAAAGAAACTCCTAGGAGGAGGATAATGGAAGTTCCTGTTGAGGGTATTAGCTGCTAACCATTTTATTTGTTTCTGAATGCTGACATGAATGGCTCGTTTGGACCATTCAAATTCTTCCCATTCACTGGCATGACCATCGTAGTGAAACAACATTATAGTGAAATTATCTAAGAATTGAGAAATGTAAAGTTAGGCTATGAGAAAAGGAGAAGGATTGAATAAATGAACATGAAGCAGGATACCTTCTTCAGCGCAGTGTCTATATTTTTCCTCTGATCATAACCAACCGTAAATGTTACTAGATATCGCTGCTTAATTGCTATATCGTGCATGCCATACCAATGAAAAATGTCATGATCTTCAGCCATATTGATGCAATACAAGCCAGTTGATTAAAAGTTACGGACCTCATTAGGCTCGCCCCACAATCGACGAAGGTAAAAATCTGATTCATGCGTGACTATATTCGGAGGTAGCCTCTCAGCACCACGGGGATTAGTAGGAACACAAATCTGCAACAGTTTGAAAGTTCTGTCATCACCTTTCTACTAAAACATAGAGAATCTAATAAGAAACGAAGCAACTAATCGAACCTTAGTGTCATTATAGTCATACGGGGGATCAGGAATGTCTTGGTTGAGTTTGAGGCTCTTTGTGGAAGACCAAGAACCAAATAGTCTTTGCCTGGATAAGTCTGAGTACTTATCCTCAATGTATGCAAGATCAATAGAGGGAAACAAGGTGGATGGAAGAGTAATCTAACCATTGTAAAACAAGAAGATAAAAACCATAACTCAACATTTGGAGTTTAATCCTATCGAAGAAAAAAAATTTAATTTTTGTTAAAACGACTTCGTTTTAGAGTTTTTTTTCTGATATACAACGACCAAAACTGACATTGTGTCATCAATACGTTTTGCTTTTTAATTAATTTAATATTGACGTCAGAAATTACTAACAGATTGACTAACGAAAATTAGTCAGAGTATGTTAAAGCCGAATACAAAAGTGTGGGTATGAAATTTAAATTTATTTTTAGTACATGTATGTATTCGCACATGTTTTTAGTACATGGTCGTAATGGGACCGTGTATAACGGCTATGATTGGGGAACAATATCAATGCGGTTGCGGAGCACTTTTACCAGTTCCGCAAATCAGACACCAATCAAACAATTACAGAGCAATTTGCGTTTTAAAAATAAAAATAAGTGCGGAAATCAAAACCGAATTATTACACAGAAGATAATGGAACGCAGTTAAAAATTGTACAGCATGCAGTACCCTCCGGTTCAATGAGATCCGCAACAGATAATATATTTTTTTTTTCAAAAGCTATTCAATTTTTTTAATATTTAATTGTACATATGTGCTATCACCCTAATAACATTCACACACTCATAAACAAAAGGCTCACGCTTCATCTCTTCTCAGTTCTCACACAAATATTCCCACAAAAATCCATTCTAAAGAAACTTACACTTTTGGT